TATAATTAGCATTACACAAAACAACACTTTTTGTCTGTAACATTTGAAAAAATGTCAATGAAAAGTTCCATTTAAAACTCTAAAACTGATAACTCATGGATCTAAGACTGAATCATGGGTCTTTTGGATTGATTTTGAACAAAATGCCAGGCTGTCACTGAAAACAATTAAACAATCGTTAAAAAGAGTGATTTGGTCATGTATAAGACACCACTGGTCGTGCTGTTGGATGAATGGTTAACAGAAACCAACGTTGTGAAAATCATTCAGGACCAATATTTTTTAACAAACGGAACTGGTTCTGAATGGGACTAGTTCTTAATTCCCAACCCCACCTCTTACGCTGAACTGAAATCAATGATGTTGTTCAAATCACTAAGCATGAGTTATAGTAACAGTGATGGTTGCCTCAGCAAACACCGCTTAATTATAAAGAAAAGAGATGACTTGACTGTTAGAGTTAATGGCTGAATCACAAAGCAGTAAAACAGACAGAGAGAGAGAGAGAAAGAGAGGGGAAAGGCCATCACGATTCATCGGTTCCCACATCCCTGTCTTTATCTCCCATTGGATTTATTGGTGAGGATGTAGCAATTACGCCCAGACAAAACAAGCAACCAAATGTGAATTTTTCAAAGGAAGACACTCCAACGTGTAGAGTCTCCAAAAGAGAGCGAGAACGCCATCGCATAATGATAAACCTAATCCTGTTGTTGACATGTCAGCCAGGATTATCGCCAAAACTACAGCCATCCGAACCAGCCAAAGCCCTGCATTACGAAGATCGCCTTGGGGAACACGTTTCCACCAAATAATGAAACCTTAAAATAACCTGGGTATTTACTAGCACAAGATCAACCCTCTGACAGGGAGAAAAAGAGAAACTATAAATCAATCCGTGTTCCTGTCAGCATCCCTTAAAATGGAGCAAGGCGTGCCAGAGCGTGTGGGTTGACAGATCGGTACTGAAATACCACTGCGCTGTTACCGTGACGCTTCTGTCGACGAGGTTTAAAAATAAGTGCGCGGCACGTCACGCTAATCATAACGCATCGGGCGTTTACGCCAAAGCTGGTGTGTTTTGATAAGGTTCTAGGAAACAAAACAGCTGCCAAGAAGAGCTCGAAGAAAAGCTTAATGCGTCTCCGGGGATTACGAATGAGCACTCTTGAACGCTTAAGACCCCGAGGGACGGGACTAAAAAAAGTCACCTTTAGAGTTACAATACTTAAAGCAAACAATCAGAGAAAAAGCTTGTATGGTTTTACAACATACCCAAGTTAAAACTTTTAATTAATTACAAGCACAACTAATACGTCTAGCGGCAAAAACAGTCAAGTAATAGAATCGTGTGGTTTAACTAGATTACATTTCCTGAAGAAAATCTGACTGGTACTTGGCAATACAAAAACCACATTAACATCAAGTACTGAAACAAACGAAAACAATAAAATGCAATAAACTCCATTTCCAAGTGGCTTTTCTGAAGCGGCGATACCATCATATGCAGACAAAAGCATTGCATCACACCCAGAGCTTTAAATCTGGATTATCTTGAGATGGTTTATTCACTGGCTGTCTAACAAATCCACTGAGCTGTAGTCTACAACGGCAGCTAATTCCCCACTTGAGCCAATAATAACGGCCAGAAAGGGTGTGAACCCATGGCCGGCCTGTTTTCGCCTCAAGCAGAGTTCCAGATGTTGGAAAACACCGTTTATGGGCAGCAAAGATCCCAATATTAAACATTCGCACACCCGACAAAACCCCCAGAAAGGATTTCCTGGATCGCCATCGGATGGAGCAATAAACTTAGCAACTCATGTCAGTCAGAGTTATGACAGTGAGCTCTGATCTCGCTGCTGGGCCGAGAGCAACTGAGAGTAACTTCCACCGACTCATAGCGATCGCCACTATATTTAGGGTCAGGATGCAAACTGCTGAATCAACGCGGATATAACGAATGACGTTATGGAATGCAGACGAGCAAATGGTTTGAGTATCAACAGTACGGATATGTTCTTTGCAACACGTTCAAAGTGAAACGGCATTCACAACTCATAAAACTGCTGTAACCTGAGCTGCTTCTGAGTGAAACTGGATATTTATTGAGAGAAAAGAAAAAAAAGAGCATGACTTGATTAGTCAAATAGTGAAGATTAGGAATGACCAGGAGTGCCACTGCAAAAAATAATTACAAATAAATAAAAATAAAAATAATGATAATAGAAAAAAAATACAAATTAATAATAAAAACAATGAAAACTAATAATAATAATAACAACAACTAAATAAATAGAACACATATTTATGTTTTTTTATTATTTTTTCAAAATAAATAGGGAATCACAAATATTAAAATTTTGGCTGATATAAGCCAATAATTATACTAATATTATGGGCAAATAAGAAATACATTTTAGAATTTAAAACATATGACAAAATAAAGACCGCATACACTTTAAAACACAGCTAAAAAGCCAAAAGCCAAGTTACAAAAACCACAAAAGGTAATCTAAACTAAATCATCACCTTAAGGTTTAAATACAACAAATCATGACCTAGCATGACAAAAGCGTGATTCTGTTTGGTGCACTGCCACTTAATCAGCCCATCACCATATACATCAAATACAGGTTCAGTCCACAACTAGAAAAGCCTTGTTAAAAAAGATCCCCTCCCCTCGTCAAATGACTGCAGAGAGGGGTTAAATTAGTCTGTGTTATTCTCAGGGTGATAACGACTGTGTGCGCAGTGTTAGTGGATATGCTAGTCCAGCAGGGGCACGCAGCAGGTACTGTCGCTCCTGCATTCCTGCACGGCCACGCGATGTGGGAAAACCAGCCTTGCCTGCCGTCGGATGGCTCAAGCCCATGGCGCCCCACCTGCACCATGGGATGTGGAAATGTGAAACCACTTTAGAGCCACTTGAAAAGCCGGTCTGGTTCCCCTCCCTGACACTCGATAGCATCCCCTCCTCACACCTCGAGATCTGGTTGTTAAGAGGCAAGAGGAAAAGGTATTTTGTGTTTTGTTTGAGCTGTTGTCGTCCCTCCCCCTGAGGCCCCGCGTGAACCCCCTGTGCTTGTTTAAGGAATGTACCAGAAGACAATAGCAGCAGTCAGAGGAAGCCATGAATGGGGGCCATTGGTCGTGGAGCACTATAGTGCCAACAGAAAGGTTTCTACCAGGGACAAAGCTCAGTATCGCTCTTCTAACCACCAGAACAGAATCAAACATGAAAATTACCCTCGAGAATACAAAAAAAGATGAACATTTCAACTTAAGAATTAGGCCAGAACTGCAAGTACGCAAATGACAATGCTTAGCGAACTCTATGCAATTTACTATTATGAATTTGCTTGACACTTTTATCCAAAAAAGCTACTTGCATTGCATTCAAGGTATGCCTTTTATCAGTTCATGCATTTCCTGGGAATCGAACCCATGGCCTTGGCATTGCTCTACTATTTGAGCTACAAGAACACAATGCAAGTCAATGCAAATGTCAATGCTTAGTGAACACAATGCAATTTACAATAACATTTACTACTATGCATTTGGCACGCAATTTTATCCAAAGCGACTTGCATTGCATTCAAGGTATGCATTTCATCAGCTTTTAGCATTCCCTGGGAATCAAACCCATGACTTTGCCTTTGCTGGTGACATGCAGGAACACAATGAAATTAGACAGCACCATTGTTTACCTACATTCTTGGACAAAAAAGGGAATAGTGTTTACTGAAATCACACACAAACAAGGTCAAATGGTTTAAAAAAAACATTTTACTTCATAAAGTCAAGCCGTAGTTAACCAAAAATCTTTTTCCAAGGACGTTACAAAATAGATCACCATCAGTTCTGTCTAAAGAAAACTTTTCCAGTAGCCTATATTTGGCTGCCTGTCACAATTGAGAGTAAGCAAGGAGTCCAAGTGTTACATTTCAATGGCTCCCCGGAGGCCCACTATGTAGGGAACACAATGCTGTGAGTATGAACAACTACAGACTGAGTCACTAGCAAGGAATTTCACAGAACTGTTGTAAGCAGATACGTTAGTCTACCCTCTCAGTTTGTAATGCACAAGCCAGGCTTAGTCAATGTTCAACTAAAAGCAGTCAAATATAATAAGTTCTCAGAATTTAATGACTTCAAAGAACACTAATACATTAGTCTTCGCTAATCTTTGCATCTCATATTTGCAAAAGAAAGCGTGTGTTACTGTGGGGAATATGCCGAACACTACATTCTTCTAATAACAATCTGTCGAGGCATGGATTCTTGTTTTAACATGAAAGATTAAGCTACAAATTAGACCAACTGCCAGGAACTAGTAGGCCAATAACTGAGTGCAAAGAATAATCGAGAAAACCCCTACAATCGGCCAACAACTCAATTCAAACAAGATTGGGCAACACGAACTTCAATCAGACAGAAAAAAAGCATGTAAATATAAGATGATATCTCACACTTAACCTGAGCTCAGTAACAGGAAAGACTAAAGCTTAACCAGTTGTCAAGATGGTTATCTGGTTAACAACAATTGGTACGATAAACTTATTAGCATTACAGCTGTACTTATACACAATTCCTTTATTCATATAAGAACTTTTATGGAAGTACACAAAATTCTGGGAGCTGATGGTCTTGTATCTTTGGTCATCTGGCCTCTGTCCTAAATCTCTTTTGGCAGAGCTATACGTATTACTAAACCGACATCGAGACCACCGAGCTAAGCATGCCTCGTTTCCTGCACTTTAAAATGGACTAGTGCCAAATGAAATGCAGCCAGCAAATTGGCACACCAGGATATGTCAGGTACCAAGTCATTGTCAATTTCTAACATTTGGAACAGCATTAGCTTGCAGCTTCTACTGCATTATACAATCACTGTTTATAATACTCAAGCAAATTCTTATATAAAACACAAACTTAAAACCAAACAATGCCATGCTTGCTTCCTGTTGGAAGAGCAATGAAAACACCAGTGGACTCACCTTTTCGCTTTTCACTTTCTTCATGGTCCTACAATCATTATTTTCCACTTCTTCTGGTTCGCTCTTGATAGCCAAAGGTGTGACTATTCCAGTGGTATCGAGGGTAATATTCCCTAGTTGCTCAGCACCAACAAGGTCCAAATTTTGCGTCCCCTCAAATGGGGTATTGCGTGCCTGGCCTAAAGGCATAACCTGGGCCGATGGGTCTTTTTCCGTGGGCACACTCCCAGCTTGTACCCCTTCATTTTTATCCTTCTTGCTTTTTCCAGAACCCTCCTTGTCCTTTTTTCCACTCTGAACATTACGAGAGGCTTTGTTACTTTTATCTGAACCTTTCCCGGAAGGTAAAGTTGTGGAACCGCTTCCCACGGTTGGCCCAGTGGCCTCGTTTTGGGCCCGTCCCTGGGCGTCTTTCTTGGCCCCATCAGGGGTTGAGGATTTGCTACTGTCCTTGGAATTCTTGCTACGCTTAGCTTTGGATTTGCTGTCCTTGATCGGCGGAGGAGGCACTGGGTTAATAAACTTGATGTTGTCCGGCAATGCCGCTACGGCACTCGAGGCAGCAGCCATTCCGTCCCCGTCCTTAGTGCCCGACATCTCAAGCTTGTCTTTCTCTAAGTCAGCGTCGAGGTCAATGATCAGGTTGCCTACACCAATTTCCCACTCATCCCCGCTGTCGTAAGTGTCCACCGCATTCAAGTCCACACCTTTCCCGCCTGCAGTGCCACTACTGAGGGACATCTTAGTGCCAGCGGCCCAAGCACGCCACAGGGAGGTCTGACCTTCTCAGACGACTGAGGTGGTCGGGAAGCACATTTACACAAGCCTCAGGGTCCTGTTGGTTTCCCCTTCCCAGTAACCCACATTGTTGCCCTGGAAAGGGGGGGTAAAAACAAGAAGAAAATATGTAAGAAATTAGGAAATGCAGTAAAATACAATGCTTTAAGACCTTTTTACAAGCACACTGCTCTTACAACAAAACATCAGAATCCTGTCAAGGCCCTCGAAATAAAAAGGTTTTGAAAGCTGTACCACTGCACATGAATTACAAATACATGCTGAGTAACCTTTTTAGACTACATTTTAGCTGAATCATGGTCACCATCAGTTTACAAATAGACATTGCATCATAACACATATGGAAACACAGCCATTGTTCATTGACAGATTGACATCAAAGCTCAACGAATGATTGCAGGAATCAGGCTGACTCAAACATGCCGCTCGCTTTCAGACTAAACAGCATTGCTATTAATTTCCTCACAAGTGAACATTAAGGATATTAAGAATGTGCAAAACTGTATATTTTCAAAACCAACTAGTTGTAGGTTGCCTGAATGACTGGTTGGTTTTAAGGCAGCACTATAATTACACTAGACGGTTCACAACAGATTAAATCATAACACTGGGGTCTTTAAAATCAGTTTTTAAAGTTGAACTCATTACAACATTAACACAGCTTACGTGATTTTAGCATGTTGACAGTGCATTTACAATTACTGTTGCAAGCATATCATGCAGTCATCATGCGAAAATCTCAGCATCTCAGCTTAAAAAGAAATGAAAGAAAATAAACAAATGATGAACTCACTAGTCAACTACTGTAGTTGCACGACAACTTAACTACTCAGCCTGTAGACTCATCCCTATAGGTTAACCACAGGGTCAGAATATTACAGACAATTATTCAAAACATGCAAACATCAGATGTCCAGCCCAGATGGACTAAGCACAAAAGATTTGATCCGAAGCCAAAGGATCTTAAATCATTTTTAAAAAGCAAACATGCACGCATGATGCAGCAAAAAGTTTTGCTTATAAAAGCAAAATGCAAAACAAATCACCATACTGTGTGTTCATTTCTTGTAATTTTGTAATTAACAAAATTGAAAGTTATTGTTGTACATGAATTGTTGTATAAGCATTGTTTTGATGGCTGAAGCGATGGTGCTTTAAAGAAGAATTAAAGGTGCAACATCTCAGACAGGATTTTAGCATGCTCCGTGTTGTTGTACACTGTTAGCATGCTAAACCTTCAGCATTTAAATGAATCCTCTTAAAACAAGATAAATGATAAACTCATTATTTAAACTAGTTGTTGTTAAACAGTCAGCCATCCAGACCAGTCCCTAAAAGTTTACCAGCATCATATTACGCACAAATATTCAAAACATGACAAATGTCAGATGTTCATCAATATGCAGTTTACAAATTACTATGATCTATATAAAGTCACTATAATCACTTTCCATGGACATGAATTACATACAATCAACACTTTCCAAATGTCACTGATCTTTAAATAGAAACAGAAACCTTTTTAATGTCAAATAGGCTTAAAATCTGTTTTCCATTAGAGATTCTTAAGAACACTAAACAAACACAGATAACTAGTTCGACTAAAAAGCTCTACATTATTAATTTAGTCTGGAACAGAAATAGAACAGACAGACGGCGATTAAAGGTCAAAGTCATTGCCCATTATACCCGAAAGAGGTCACATAAAAGACAGTACGAACCACAAACTGGTTTAACTGCACTACTACAGTTTGGCGGTCGTCTAATAAAACTAAGCACTACTTAAGTTGAAAACGATGAGTCCGTCTTTGAGCTGCATCTTAAATAGCCGAGGAGACAGATGGTTGAATGAGAGGACACTAATCAGAGGTTTGCTGTAATCCGTCAGTCCACCAGGGAACATGGAGTGTGTCCTGCAGGAAGCTTTCCAAACGTCTGCCGTTGGAACCCAAGATAAGACGGACTTCCACTATCACAGTCATTCATCAGTCCCTTGCTTTTCTCGGCACTATGAAAGGCTTTGAGAGTAGAACTTCGAAAGATGCCATTTTTGAAGGCGATTAATGCAAACAACAATGAAATGCCACAACACAATATCAATGTTATTTTAAGCGATTTCTGAGCTACCATAACAGCATTTTACCTAATTAAAGGTGGAGCTACTGGATGTTTATATTAGTGGTTCGACCGATATGTCGGCCTTGCCGATATTTTGCATTTTTTAATAATTGGAATCAGCCAGATATGTCAGAACTGTAGGTGCATGACAACTTAACTACTCTTTAAACTTGGATATTTATTTTGACGGTGTGCAGGACTTCTATTTTGACAGCGCTGAACACGCAAGCGCCTGAGCACACAGAGCTCCCATTCTTCGTCCATATCAGTCGACTGCTGGTTCAAATACTTTCTGCCATTAGAGTTTGATGTTTAGAGTCAACTAGAAGTCGATCATTGATTGTTTGACTTCCTGAAGAGTTAAACGCCACGTTCCAGACAAGGTCGGAAGAGGGAACATCCAAGTTTAAATGTCCCACTTCCAATCTCAGGGAGTTCCAGTTAGAGTTAATTTCGTTAATGAAAAGTATGACGAAAAATGTTCGTTGACGAGCTTTTTTGCCCATGACTAAGACGAGACTATGAGGAGACGACAATAAGGTCAAAAAATTATAACTGTGTCTATATCAACATGCAATATCGTTGACAATAAAAGACGAGACTAAAATGTTTTTTTTAAATAAAAACTATACCAAAATTTCTTGATAATACCAGATTAACTATTACACAGCATGATGAAAATGTGACGAAAAGTGTTCATTGACTAAAATGCTCAGACATTTAGTCGACTAAAATTTGACTAAACAAAAACAGGACAAGTTTGACTAAATATGATAATAACTAAAAACCACATTTGACACAAGACTAAGACTGAGACTAATTTAAAAGACTAAGACTAAAACTAAGACTAAATAAAAAATGACACGTCACGTTAACATATTGACCATATGTAGTTGCCACGACACAATGAAAGCATGTCATGTTTTTGTGTCAATTAAGGCAAAAACAGAATAAATTAACATGAAATGCTGCCGTTCATTTTGAAAAAAGCTCAAAATTAAGGTATCATATTATAAATTTAATGTCTAATGTTTTGACTCCACACTATGCTCGCATCTCGCTGAGGTCGGGGAAATCTACTTCCTGCAGTTAAATCATATAATCGTTTACTAGTTAAAATACGTACACCAGCGAGCCGCTGCATTAGTGTAACCCGCCAAGGGTTTTTGTCGTTGCCAATAAATGTGAAAAGCAAAAGCTTTACAAAACTCATTCATATCCCAACACGGCTGATGATGCAAGCGACTGTCACGGTTCTCACATACAACCTAATTAGGAACCGAATGACGAAACTGCGCTATAATTTAGTCAAAAGAAATCTTCTGTCTGTTCCCTATTCAAACACCAAAGGCAAAGAAACAAAGCTTTTGATTTGAGCCAGACATGGACGTGGCGCACATGCTTGAGTTCTGTTTTTGATGTCGTTTGATGGATAACCAATCAATATGCCTGAAGAGAAGCTGTTTATTGAGAAGCGTAATTAAATTGTGCTTCCCCTCGTCTTTGGCAAGTATCGCTGAAGGTAAAGCAAGAACCCAAAAACGCCATGTTCGAGCGGCTCTGGAACAGGTTGTCCTTTTCATTACCCTGAGACTCAGGTACTTCTGCTTTTCCAATAACGGTGGTAAACTAATTTCGCTTTCCCTGCCACATGCCAGCAAGCAGCGGGAGCGCTCGAGGGAGGCGAGCTGCCTTTCCACGCTCCCAAACCAATCCCACCCGACATGACACGAGCCTAATTAACACAGGCATCCACTGCGGACGCCTCGGCTTGATGGAAGAACGTGAGCTGAAACTCAAATGGGCGCTTGTGCAAATGCCTCGGTGGGATGACAGGACCGAGGATCGATACCGTTCTCGCCCCCCGTTTGATGATGAAAAACAGATCAAAGAGCGAATACAATCAGGGACGGGATGAAGAAAAACAACAAGACAACAAAGATGAAATGTAAAATCAAGAGGCGGTACTCAAGAGAGCCCTCTGACCTGATTGAGAAGCACTCGTGCCTTCAGTGCAAGAACGGCCTTGGAGTTTTAAATCCCTCTCGGCGACTGAGTAATTGAGATTCTCTAATAAAAAAGCGGTTTCAAAGGCTGCTGGAACTGACAGGCTCTCCGTCAGACTAAATCACAGCTCTTTCTGAAGGCTCGGTGAAAGGGAGGGAAGCACTTCCCGTGGTTAAATTACACACTGCATCAGATGAAAGCGGCGCTGCACGCGTTTTCATCTTCCCCTCTTGGAATTCTCCCTTGCCTTCTTGTCTTTTTCTTTCGAGATCTGTAAGTAGACAAGCGTAGGATTTCATCACAGAGATGACGGTGACCTTTCTCTCCGTTCTTTTTAGGCCTGATCGGTAGATTCTCGGGTAGCCAACGATCTTGCTCTGCCAGCCTCATAACTCCACCATTAGCCAATCCAAACAGAGGGCATCTCCAGCAGCCGAGTTAGCCCCCACGGAGGAAACATCTGATCTAACCCCGAAGAGAAGAGAACAGCTGTCCTGGGCCGGTCTGGAGGAGTTGGGTTGCCCCGTTTAACCGCACAGTAAAGAGAGCGAAATCCTATCTGCATCTGACCTACTGCACTGCCTTTAACACACAGTGAGCCGTTTCGGCGAGGCTCGCAACATATTAATCAGGGATAATCTGTGGTTTATGCACACGAGCCTTGCAGGAACACTGAACTGCAAAAGAAAACAAAAAGTGTGACCAGCATTAATTAACCAAACAATTACAAATAATTAGCGATAATTAACAATGCGATGGAAATGAACAACCAGAGTAGTTACAGAAAATACGACATCCACGCACATTATTTGGTTGATACTTATCCATTTCACGATTATACTTTAGGACAATAAACATTCAGTTTTGGGGAATAATGATAATAACATACACATTATAAATTATATAAGAAATACATTTCGAAATAAAAATGTATATATATATATATATATATATAAAAAAATATATATATATATTTTTTAGAAATGTATTATATAATTTACACATAATTTATAATTTAAAAAATATAATGAATATTGAATACCATGTAAAATAGTGTATATTTTATGTTGCATTTTTATTTAGTTTTTAAAATAAAAGAAAATAATTTAAAAAAATAAATATTTTATACAATAAAATAGTGTTTAACAAGTTTAACAAATTACATTTTCTAATTTCATTTTCTATCATTAAATTTCATAATTGTATGATAGTAAAATGTATAGTTAAATTATATATAAAAAACATTTTTGTTATTCTAAAAACTAAAATACAACAATATTCAGTCAAAATACAATAAATAAATAAAGGTCTGTTGACAAAGCTGTGGCCAATCATTTTAATATTTTATATAAAAGTCTTTCCCCCGGTTCCACAGACAAGGCTTAAGCCTAGTCCCAGACTAAAATGTAAATCTGAGCTGTTTCAACTGAAAGAAACTTGCACTGACTGATCTTAAAATATATCAGTGCCTCTGTTTCGTCTCAAGATGCACACCAGTAATGTGTTTTCTAAGGCATGTTTATGAAAAGTTACTTAAATGTCCTAATTGGACTATGGACTAATCCTGGCTTAGTCTAAGCCCTGTGTGTGAAATCAGGACTTTAACAAGTACCAAACTTATTAATATTCTCCTATGAAACACCACCATTTAAACATATATGAAAAAAGCTCAGATCTGCTGCATAATCATAACATTAATTGCAACAAAGACGTATGTGGCATTTAATGCCTTTATGACAGCCGCCAGATGTTAGAGAAGTTAAGCACCACCTCAACCTATAAATGTTTTCCAGCTCTGCCAAACACAGCCAAGCCAAATACTCAATTACAGGGGCAGGAAAGGGGGCTTCTTAACGAGCTATTTCTAAGAGTTTGCCTGCGGGGCCGAGCGCTCGTTCCACGCTAGCTGCCACACCGTGTAATTGGATTGTGTGCTTGAACTGCTGACTGAAATAGAAAAGTGCAGAGAGCTTCAGGTGATGGGAATCAAGCAACCTGCGGGGTCAGCCAGACTGCATCTCAGCGAAATGTCAGGAGCGGCATCCGGTCTGGAAGCGCAGCGGGACTTCAATTTGTGGCTGTACGCAATGTACCGTTCTGCATTGCCCCTGAGTGGCCCGTTTGGGTTCAGACGTCTGCCAGGTCGTCGATTACGGTAAGCCGAGCCTAGTAGACATGCCCCGAAGACCCTGCATGCAACAGACCTTTTGCTTGGGCGGTTCTCCAATCAGAAGCTCTTTTTGTCAGATAGCAAAGCTTTGATGGCGCCCTTGTGCTCAGCAAAAGTAAAAATGAAACATTTCTGGCCTTTCATCTCAATTCCCCTGTGCACCAATAAAGCAGGGGAGATGTTTCACTCACAACTCCAAAAGCCTGTGTGAACGGGGAACTGATTTGGCACCTCGAATGACAGGTCGCGCAGTACATGAGATCTCTGGAAGGGAGCGCGGGGGCTTCTGGAGGGTTTACAGCCTTCATGTCACAGATAATTTCCACAGAGAGGACTGAAATACTGTTTGCAGGGCACACAGAGTACCCAGGCTGAGGAGGATGACAAGCGAGATCACGGTGCTACTATCTGCAAGCGTGGTTTCCTGGCAAATTAAACAGCTTTCTTATCCCAGTCAAAATCAAGAACTGTTCACACGAGCTTTCTGTCATCTCCCACAGGTCAGTTCAAACCCTGATGGACTTTCTGCCGTGGAACACGAAAGGAGAAACTCTGATGAATGTTCACGCTGCTCTTTTCCGAACCACAACCAGAAGTCTCCAAAGCAACAGAAGATTTAACATAAACTAAACTGCTACAGTGGCAACTATTAAATCCTTCAGTTTAATATTTCATAGACATTCTAACATAAAAAAAAATATTTATTTTTGTTTGATCAAACATTAAAGGCAACAATAAAAAATACAGTAAAAATTTAACTTCTGACAAAATTACAAAAACAACTAAAATCTTTCAGTTTAATATTTCATAGACATTCTAACATAAAAAAAAATATTTATTTTTGTTTGATCAAACATTAAAGGCAACAATAAAAAATACAGTAAAAATTTAACTTCTGACAAAATTACAAAAACAACTAAAATCTTTCAGTTTAATATTTCCTAAATTAAAAAATATTCTAAAAAAAAAAATGTTTATCATTTTAGCCTTTACTGATATGACATAAAATATTGCTAAAATAAAGTACAATAATAAAAATTAAAAAAAAGTATTACAAATTGTAATACACAAACTGCTTACAAAATTACAATGACAAATATAAAATCCTTCAGTTTAATATTTTATAGAAATTGTAACATTAAAACAAAGAAATGTCAGCATAAAATATTCAAGGCAGCACTAAAAATTTTAATAAAAAAAACAGTATACAATTAAACTTTTTTTTTAATTACAACAATTTCCTAAATTAAAAAAAATATATATATATATATATATTATTTTAGCCGTTGTTGATATGGCATAACATAACTAAAATTATACAACTTTAAAATAAAGTACAATAATAAAAAAATTATAAAAAATAAAATATACAAATAAATTCATTAATAAATTGAACATTAAATACATCAAACCGTTGCTTACCGTAACAAGTGTACCATTAAAAGCAGGGTCTCTAAAAATGACTTTCCATTCAAAATCCAATACACTACTAATGGTGCTTTTCCACTGCATGGTACGGCACAGTACGGTTCACTTTTGGGGGGGGGGGGGGTTCCCAGGAGTCGCGGCAGTAGAGGCAGCGCAACTATAACGACATGTGAATAATCCAGCCCACTCGAAAGTGGTACTGAACTGCAGTGGAAACGCAAACCAAACCAAACCAAGTCGTACCACGCAGTGGAAAAGCACCATAAGTCATCTGCCACAAATCTAATGTACAAGACAGGTGAAGTGTACAAACATGTGGGAAGTTAAAGTGTGCAATCAAGGCGTGACAACGGTCTACTGAACTTGGAAACATAAAAATGATTTCATGCCAAAGACGCCTCCGTTGGCAAAGTCCACCTGCCAAGTGTGTACTGCGGGCGTCACATTTGTAGCTCAGAGACAAACTAATGCACATCATAAGAGAGCACTTGTGTTCAAGCCCCTCCATTCTCTTAAATTTTTACAAATCCATTTCACCCTGATAATGTTCACACTGAAATTGCTGGCTGAAAGCATTAACCTATGGAATGAAAAGTGTTGCCAATCAACTAACAACACTTGTTACAACATTGTTGTGGTAGCTTTTTATACCAACACTTTGAGCGTGTTTGTAAATAATGGTTGCATCTTTCATTGCATGCAAAAAGTGACAAACCAAAGCTACTTTGAAGTCCCATGTAGGTCCTTATTTAAAGTAATTTGTGAAAGGTGTAAAGTGCCAGACTTGATACAAAGGTAATTGCTACAAAATAACCTCCGGCGAAGTGAAGCCATTTGTTGCCAAGATGGCAATTAAAGACAGTTCACCAGCGGAGGCCTAGAGACGACACGTCGACAGAAATCTACACCAAACACAGCAGGAGAAGACTTGAGTAGACAGGCTACACAAATACACAAGCCTCGTTTGACTCAGTCTTTCCAATCAGTCTTTGTTTTCTGAACACACATCATCAATCAATTAATTACTCAAATGAAGGTGAGATCAGCTCAGGCCTTCAGGCTCAGATGCTCTCAGTTCATTTCCAAATAAGGATAGTTCACTGGAAAAACTCACTGTAATTTGCTTTAATAACAAACCCTCTCGCCCCAAATGCACATTCATGCACAGATGAGTCGGCATGGTGGATTGGCAAAGGCCGACTTGTTTATCTAGTGCTTAAACACTATTAGTGCAACACTGTAAATTTAGAAACACAACACGCCGTTTTTTGGCATGCTACCAATCACAGTAGACTTCATACTCATGTTCGTATTCAACAGTTCCTCGAATGCAATTTTTTAAAGAAGCACAGTTGCAACCACCAAAAACAATGACCAATTTCGCCAATTTTTAAAGCCAATTTCTCTTATCTAATGGACCCTACAACTCTTAAAAATAAAGGTTTCAAACAGGGATTTTGGCAGAGATGCCACAGAAGAACCATTGTTGGTTTTCCAAAAGAACCTTTCAGTCATCAGGACATTTTAATAATCTAAAGAACCATTTTCCACTATTGTCCACTGGAAAGATTCCATGGGTGTTAAAGGTTCCTAAAAGAACCATCAATGCCAATAAACAACCTTAATATGTAAGAGTGTAAAGAACCTTTTTTTACAATGAAAGCTCCCACACTTTTAGAAATAAAGGTTTTTACAATGATGCTATAGAAGAACCACTTTTGTTTGAAAAGTTCTTAAAAGAAATATTTCTTCTTAGTGTGAAGAACATTTGAATTATTAACTATAAAGAACCTTTTCTTGAATGGAAAGGGTCTTCGAGGAACCATCAATGCCAATAAAGAATCTTTATTTTATAAAAAGGAAAGGTTTTATATAAATGGAAAAAAGTTCTTTAGATTAAAATGTTCACACAAAAAAAAAAAAAAGGTTCATGGATAGGAACCAAAAATGGTTCTTCTTCCCTCTTAATAATAAAG